GTAGCAGGCCTTCACTTATATATAAACAATGCAAATTAAGGAAGGGGTGAGAAAAATACTGAGACCTTTTGTCTACGCATGATCATCTTAGAGAAAGTAATGAAAATATCCCTCAATAAAAGCATTGTATGAAGCAGAAGAAGAAAAATTAAATGGGTGTTAGGTCTGCCAAAATATAATATCAGGACACGCGAAATTTTGGGTTCGGGAAAGAACCAGGCTCCCTGCCATCTCTACTTTTCGCTTGCCAATTACAGCCAAAATTTGAAATAACTCGGTACGGTCAGTCAATTAACACTTACATAGTCAAGGGAGAATGTGCTGCCAAAATCCTGTGTACAAATCCGCCTGCCACTGACAATCTCCATAACTATGATCCCAAAGTTGTACATTACAGATTCAACAGAAAAATCCCGACGCATATCATATTCTGGGGAGTTATAGACGCTGCTAACAAACAGAAACCAACACAATTTAGCTGAGAGAGGGAGAGAGAGAGAGAGAGAGAGAGAGAGAGAGAGAGAGTGAGAGAGAGAGAGAGAGAAGAACAAGAAAATGATCCAAACATATTCATACAAGGTTCCAATCGGTCTAGAGCTTCTCATCTCAGATTGAGCGAACCTATAGAAGTTGGATAATATAGGATTCATGTAACTGTCCAGCAAAATATTTTTCGAAGTGAGATCCCGTGAAACGACACTGAAAGCAAATTCGTCATGTAAATCGACAACTGCTCGAGCAATCCTGATTATTATTTTAAACCGTAGTGGCCATGGCAGGCTTTGGCGTCCATGGTCATCACCTATGGACAAAATATTCTTTTTGAAGTCATTCGATTTTCAGAACAGTAATCAGTGCCCAAGTTGAAATATACTTATAGTGGGTGGAGATGAGAACACACCAAATATAATAGTCGATATGCTTTCAGCAACACCATCGTACACGAGCAATTTATCTTCTCCTAGGATACAATAGCCGAGTAGTTTGATGACGTTTCTATGCTGAATCCTGGGAAGCAAGAGAATCTCTTTTTTGAAAGGTTGTGTGAGCCTTTTAACTGTAACTAGTTGCCCAGATGGTAACACAGCCTATGCATATAGCCAGACTGGATCAGTGTAAAATATTGGATAAACTTTAGAAAGCCACACGGAGGAAGTTAGTAAAGTTACCTTATAAAGTGGCCCAAACGTGGCCTCTCCAACTTTATTTGAAACAGAAAACTGATTGGTGGCTGTGGCAACTGTATGCCAATCAAATTTGGTCAAGTTTGGGATTGAATCACAAATCCCTTCAATATTGTCTGCAATTTTAGAAGGGGAAAAAGCCTTTGTTACATTCTTTAGTGATTGCAGGGATTTTATACACTTCCTAAATCGTGTGAAAAGTGTGAGTTACCTTCAAGATTTAACGGACCATGAAAAGCTTGTGGTTGTGGGTCTCGTGGATCCAATAGTAACTCGTTTCCTTCCAACATTTTAAGCACATTGGCCATTTGTGGTCGAAGATTGGGTTCTGTTTGGGTGCACAATAGACCGACTTGAATGCATCTCATAGCTTCTTCCTCCAGAAATGCCCCTTCAAGCGATTCATCCACCAGATCACATGCTTTCCCTTCATCCCAAAGCTTCCTTGCCTGGAAAATGTCCAAAATGTAAACGATTGCGTAAGTGGAAACGAAAAGGAACATAAACTAAGTTGCTACTCCTTATATTTTACAAAGTACCAGTTAAATAACTATTTAAGAGCACAGATGACTATATGCAGTTTATGCCTAATGTATTATAGCCCCGGGGCATAAACATATCAAAGACCACTTACATAGTCATAGAAGGGCATAGGCTCTGAATAAGATGCATTCATTCTTCCCCTGCCACTCACAATCTCCAGGATTAGGACTCCAAAGCTATACACATCGAACTTAACTGAAACTTTTCCGTGCTGCAAACATTCTGGTGGAATATACCCACTGGATACACACAAATAGAAATACAAAATTTATTTCAGACCAAAAAAGACATAAACCAAAGAAGAGGTAAGTTAATGGAGGGAGTGACTTACATGGTCCCAGCTACGTGTGCTTCCAGTTCAGAATGATTTTCAGCCAAAGTCCTTGCAATGGCAAAGCCACAAATTTTAGGATTCATCTCGGCATCCAGTAATATATTGCGTAACTTGAGATCTCTGTGAATGACCCTGAGTCCTGAATCTTGGTGAAGATAAACAAGCCCTCGGGCAATCCCTACAATGATTTTGAAGCGTTCTTCCCAATAGAGGTGTCTGTGCTCTCGGTCTTCATCAATGCGTTATAGAAAGGTTAATTCATTAAACTGTTGATCCATATTATGAATAAAGAAATGGCTTTATGAAGTTATGAGAACATAACTCATTATCCTTTTTTTTTTCTTTTCGTAGGGACGGTGAAGTAAATAATTTGTCGTCCACAAACCTCCTATGAAAGCATCCAGACTCGTATTTGACACGAACTCGTATACAAGCAACTTCTCTTCCATATGCATGCAATAGCCGAGTAGCTTGATGATGTTGCGATGCTGAAGATTCGATAGTAAACGAATCTCATTTTTAAATTCGATGGGGCCTCTTCCCAAAGATGGTGAAAGCCTTTTAACAGCAATTTCCTGACCTGTCGGTAAAACACCCTATACAAATAATTGCATCAGGAAAAAGAAGCAGAAAAGCTTCAGTTACCAATTTGACCTCATATCTGGTAGGAGTCAATCTAAAGATCACCTTATAATCAGAACCAAATGCATCCCGTCCAATACTATTGTAAGTGGAGAATTGAAGGGTGGCAGCAGCAATTGTATCCCAATCATACTTGGTGCATCTTATATTTGATTCCTCCCAAATTTCTGAAATTTCATAAGTCACATATATTTCAGAAAATCATACCATAAAACAAGGAAATCTATGGGTAGAATACCACCCCATATGAGTGAGGTTTTATTTTTATGTTGGCCAAAATTCTCCTTTTAAAACTGTGCACATATTTAGGTGATAAATGTTTTTTCTTATGAGGATTTTACATGCGTACGTGTGTGTGTCATGTGTATAAAGGTAGAAGAAATAACAAACCCATAATTTATACATAAAAAGTATATAATTGCATTTTTTTCATTAAAAAATTATGTCAACAATTTCACGCAATGATCCAACTTTCAATTAATTTTTATATCTTTTTTCTGCCAGATGGAGTTGTAAATTTGTTCTTTCTTCTCATCCAGCAACTTTTCTTGGCCTGGTATTTCAAGGGATCCACTAGAATTTACTAAGAAAAAAATAGTCAATCATCCGGATTAGAAGCATGAACTCCAAACAGAAATCATTAGTGTCATGGTTAATTATATATAGATCATTTCAAGCTTGCAAACAAGTTAGATAATAGCGAATGACACTGGCCTTTAATTCTCCAATACCTGATAAAGAATCATTTTTTTTGGATGGTTTACCCCTGTTCCAAAATGCATCCCACGGCCAAAGTCGTGGCCTACGTGTCATGTCTTCTCTCTGATATTTTCTTACAGATCGGCTCCCAGCATTAGCCACTTGGCTGCTCGTTTGCTCTTCTACAAGAGGAGCCAAATTCTGCATGTTTATGGAAGCCATTGTAGGCTTCTCAGTATAACCTGAAGCGCAAATACCATCTTTACCAGGACTTGTGTCATCAGAAGCACTTTTTGTCTCATTTAACACCAGAGGTTGTTTGTGGTCCTGTTGCTCGAGGGCCAACTCAAGTTGCAGCACAACTTGAGACATCGTTGGCCGGCTCTTTGGATCATCACGCAAGCATCTTTCCGCAATCCCAACAAATGTTTCGAGACTAGCAGGTGAAATTTCCTCTCTCAAACTTGGCGCCAGTATCTGATCAATCTCTCCCTTACTTATTTTATCACGAGCCCATATGGTCAAAATGTGTTCGTCCTCCACAAGGCTCAAGTCCACGGCCAGTCTTCCACACAATATCTCAAACATCACCACGCCAAAAGCATACATATCAGTTTTCCTCGTTAGTTTACGTGTGTGGAGGTAATGTGGGTCCAAGTAACCGTTTGTGCCCTTAACTCGTGTGCTGACATGGCTTTGTAACTTGCTTTTGTCTTCATGTTTAGCCAAACCGAAATCAGAAACCTTAGCGGCGAAATTTTCATCCAGCAAGATGTTTGAACTTTTTACATCACAGTGTATGACTCCATGGCCAGTATGGAGATAGTCCAGTCCACGACCAGCGCCAACGCAAATATTAAGACATTGTTTCCAATTTAGAGAAATACAATCCGTGCTCGTCGTCTTAAGTTTGTCGAGATGGTCTGCCAATGTTCCCCCAGCCATGTAATCATACACGAGAATCATCTCCCCGTGCTCATTGCAATAACCAATAAGAGAAACCAGATTCACATGCCGAAGCTCGGACAGCGTCTCGATCTCCATCAGAAACTCACGGGCACCCTGCATGGAGTTTGATTTTAATCTCTTCACAGCAACAGTTGTTTGACCTCTGTCAATAAGGCCTTTGTAGACTTTACCGAATCCACCTCTTCCGATTAGAAGTGCATCGCTGAAATTTCTAGTGGCTAGTTGGAGCTCGGTTAGTGAAAAACGGCGACAGAGTCGTTCAGCCCTGTCTGATGGCTTGTTTTCCTCCTTAGTATAATTAGCCTCCAAATATTCCCAAGACTTGTGAACAATGATGCATGCCAGAGAAATCATAGAAATTGCAGCAGTTGAAATTAAATTCCGGTGACAAAGAGCCAAGAACAAATTTCGGATAGTCTTGGAAGATGAACCATTAGCTGGGGGCAAGGGATTTGGACTGCCAAGGCTATAGTCAGGATTGCTCAACTTAAAGATCTCAAATCCAACAAGGAGACCATGCCCATCAATGAGATCATCGTGTGAATTCAAAGAAATCGAGAGATCACGTCTACCTTCATTCTTGTTCCCTCGCACCATGATCAAGCAGTCCTTATAATACAAGGACATGTAATTTTCATCCATTTCTTCCACCATGTCAATATTAGTTAGAGCAACCATTTCATTAATAAGGACTTCAAACATCACATCACCAGCCACGATAAACCTGAGTCCCATCTCCGAGAAATGAAGCCTGATCATGTACCTGAATCCCACGTCAACAGGTATTCTCCATGTAGCTTTTGCCTTGTCCGCTTCAGGAAATCTCCATATCGGGAAAGTTTCATCAAAATCTCCACTAGGCTGAACAGCACTGTACTTTATCTTTTGCTGGTGGACTATTTCAAGTGCAGTGTGTTGATCAACTCCGATCAAGGAATTCTGACCAACTTCCTGGATTACGTAACCTCCACCGCCAAAATAAGAAACACTGGCGGGCACGGAGATAATCTCGATACCATTAATGAAAGCATATGTATCTAGTGACTCAATGTTTTCTGGAGAAAAAGTAATACGAAGTTGTTCATTTTCTTGAACGTTCAAACAGAATTCCTTGGAAAATGAACTCATGCCAAGAGCATCGGCAGTGAGTGCAGCACTGAAATTATCAAGCAAGGTGAAAGGACCGGCTTCAACGGTGAACAAGTCCTTGAAACCTTTAAAACCTTTGTAGGGAGACGGGTTAAAATGAAGGCGGATTATTTTCTGACCTGGCTTCACGTGAAATATATAAGAGAATCGACTGTGAGATATTCTCGCCGTCTTGTGTGGAATTGGATCAGCAGTAATCAACTTGGTGTTAACTGTTGAGGTTGTTGAAGAGCCCTGTATTTGTACCAATGAAGTGGGCTTTGGCTTCATTACGTCCCCAATCCATTCCCGGCCATTACGTGCTGCAAAAGTTCCAAGTGAGCCACAGTTAACAGAAAATTCAGCTGTGGAGTGAGTTGGATCAGAACTATCGGCTGTGGATGCTTTCAGAAGACATAAGAACAGCATAGCAATTGAAACTCGATATGAGCTCATGGGTCTATTGATTTTTGGTAGTAAAAACAGATGAATGATCTCAGAAGTTTAGAAATGAAAGGATGAATGATCAATGTCTGGCTCCATCCACAGTTAAGTTGAATAACTGGCGTTCGGCTTTTGTCTTCATATTTCGTGTAAAAAGATTGGTTTTTTCTTCGAACTTTCGGCTCAACTTGTTTGGAATTTCCAACAAACGTCAGGGATGGGTCCCCAGAAATTGAATACACCGTGAAAGTGAGAAATCCCACAAGTTGACCAAAACCAAAACTTGATGAAACAACAAAAAAACCTCTGCAAAGCCCTGCAGCTAATAAGCAGTAAAAAAAACAAACACAAACCAAACCAAAACGCATACCCTTTTGTTTGTTAAACGATAAATCTGTGATCTGATTTCCTCTCAATTGAAGTCAATGTGTTCGATCAAATGACACACCCACAGCGAGACAACGAGGAGACAAAAACTAAATCAATAAAACGTACTGGTAATTTCCTCCGACGAGCGAACAGCAATATATCTCTTGATCGGAGCCAATGGTTCAACTCTGCGCGGCCAATTTCGCCACGCATACGGCTACTCGTGCGGCGCGCATCTGCCATTTTCGAGATTTGCTCCGCCGCTTAACCTGGATTGTGATGTTGCAAGGACTGAAAGATGATACTAGTATGTCTCAGCGAGTGATCAATCTACTTCTGTATTTGAATTTTTTTTTAACATCTCAAGTTTGGATATGGCATTTGGTGTTGGATTTTGTAGATGTATTATGGCTTTCAAACCTCATAGATAAATTGAATATCTCCTCAATTTCTTTAGATTTTTTTAAAAATAAGCGTCTTAAAAAAAAAATAATAATAATTAATTAAAATTCAAATTAATACCTCAATATTTTTAATTTTTTTATTCAAGTAAATATATTAACTTAATTACATTAATTGGACCAAATTTTTTCTCTCTTCTTGGGAGTCGCCTTTCTCTCGTCTGAGAGTTTTTCTTCTCTTTGATAGAGTTTCGATCTCTTGAGGTGAGAGTGGGATTGGGTAGATCCTTACTGGAATTGTGGTGTTTTGGGTTGGGATTGTATTTGGGGGTAAGCTCTTCTTTTTGCCCTAATTTGGGGGTTTTGGGGTTTTGGCTCTCGGTTACATTAATCCTTATGGGGACGGAGAATGAAGAGGAGGCGCTGGGTTCACTCTTGGAGAAGTTTCAATTATCAGAACGAGAAGACTCATTCGTTGATATCGAAGATAGAGATGTTCGAACAAGTGCGGAGGAATGTGGCAGAAGTCTATTTGGTAAAGTGATTGGAGATAAAAGAGCGAACTGGATTGGCATCCGAAGAGCGATGGCTCAGGCCTGGAAAGTAGGCAATGCCCTGGAGGTTAGGGAGCTGGAAAATAATTTTTTCCAGTTCATATTCCAATCCGTTAAAGATAAAGAAAAAGTGGTGATTGATAAAATCTGGGTGTTCGATGGACAATATTTAATCTTGCAGGAGTGGAAGGAGAGAATTCAGAGCAGTGATGAAGGCTTTCGAACTATTAGTCTTTGGGTACAGGTTCACAATGTACCCTTGAATTGGTTGAGTACGCAGGTGGGTTTGAAGCTGAAAAGTATGTTCAAAAAAATTAAGAATGTGCATATAGCTAGAGTGGGGAGTCAAGGAAGTAGAGTGCTCAGAATTTTGGCTGCTATTGATACTACAGAAGCTATTCCTCGATGGGCAAAGATAAGGTTAGGAGACAACGTGGTGGTTGTGCAATTTAAATACGAAAGATTGTTGAACTTATGTTACTATTGCGGGAAGATATGGCACTCAGATAAGAGTTGCAAGGTGAGATTGCAGGATATTGATGCCGAGAACCTTAAAGAAGGGCAATTCGGAGATTGGGTTAAAGCTGCAGAAGGAGTACACTGGACAGACTCCACTAATCAGAGCAATCAAACTGATACAGAAGAGCAAGTGACAGGGAAAACGCCAGAAAAAGGGGCTTCCTCTAGGGAGGGAGTTGGGGAGGTGGGATCTTCAAGCAAAATGGATACTCAAAAGATAGATACCGTTCAGATTAATGAAGCCCCGATGCAGTGCAGTAATATGGATGAGATTATAGGGCCGGATGCTGTGGATGTTCCTCTTCAGCTAATTCATGATGTTCACATGCCTACTTTACCCCCGTTACACAAGGCTTTGGTAATAAGTGAACCGATAGAAACTAGGTTGATCACCTATGATGAGGCCAATGATGTTACTAAAGACCAGCTAGGTCAAGAGCCGAAAAAACCCAGGACTTGGAAAAGGCAAGCAGACAAATCAGGCAGGCTGCAGAGAAAACAAGGTGCCAAAGGGGAAGCTAGCTCAGTCAAAGTGAAGAAGAGGTTGTCTTCTGATATGGAAATTATAGTGCACACTAATCCTCAACAGCAAGAAGAAGAAGTTAAAGGTAAAAAGCCTAAAACGCAAGCACAAGTGGTGAAGGTAGCCAGCCAAAAATGGCTCCCAACTCATCAATGTTAGCCATGGTGTGGAATTGTAGAGGGCTGGGTGGGCCCTCTACAGTTCCCCAATTGCGAGAGGCTTGTATGTCTCACCATCCAACCTTTGTGTTTTTATCAGAGGTTAAGAATCAGGTTGCAGTTGTATCAAAAATTTGTGTTAAGTTAGGTTTTGAAGGAAGATGGATGTATGAAGCTCCTCAAGGTACAAAAGGAGGGTTACTGCTTTGTTGGGACAAAGGGTGAATATTATGGCAGTGGTTAGCAATGGCTTCTGCATTCAAGTACAGTACTCTCAGGAATCTCAATCTGAGAGGGAATGGGTTATCTTTGTGTATCTCAGCACTCAGAAGCTGGAAAGAGAGAGACAGTGGGCATTTCTTCTTAAAGAAAAGGCTAGATGGAGGGACAGATGGGTTATTATAGGAGATTGGAATGACTTGAGTAATCCTGAAGAGAAAAAGGGGGGTAGAACCAGACCTATGATGAGCTACCAGGATTTCAATAATTTTATTGCACAAATGGGGATGTGCCTGCTTAGGATGGAGGGGCATAAGTTCACATGGGGTAACAACAGGAGGGAGGAAGGCTTTGTTGAGGAAGTTCTGGATAAAGGGTATGCATCTCTGGATTGGATTCTTAAGCATCCCCAAGCTAAGATCACCAATGTGTTCAAGAGTGCTTCAGACCATGGTATGCTGCTGTTAGAAGATGGTAAGGAGAGAGTTCATCATAAAAGAAGATTTGTTTTTGATAAAAGGTGGCTCAAGAAGGAAGGAATTCATGAGGTGATTAAGGAAACTTGGCAGGAGGAAGAGTTGGGGACTCCAATGTTCAGACTGAAGGAGAAAATTAAAAAAAACAAGAGTAGCCCTTCTCAAATGGGCTAAAGTTTTCAAGTCTGACAACAAAGCCAATATTGATAAGCTGACTATGAAGTTGGAGGAAATGAGACAGCTGGGAGGTAGCAGGAACTGGTCTGAATGGGATAAACTTCAGAAAGAGCTTGACATGGCCCATAGCACAGAGGAGATGTTCTGGCAACAAAAATCCAGAATTTTGTGGCTAAAGGAGGGAGATGCAAATACAAAATTTTTTCATGCCATGACTGTCCAAAGGAGAAAACAAAATGCTATAACCAGGCTTGTGGAGGGAGATAGAATATTCCAAACTCAAAATGAAATAGAAGGGCATGTGGTGAATTTCTATGAGTCTCTCTTCACTTCTGAGGGATCTGGACAGGAAGAAGAAGCACTACAACAAATCAAGCAGGTGATCACCCCCCAAATGAACACCAGGTTGACTGCCTCTGTAGGTGAACTAGAAATCCAGAAAGCACTTTTTCAAATGAATCCATCTAAGGCCCCAGGGGAGGATGGGATGACAGCCCTGTTCTTCCAACACTTTTGGCCAGTGCTTAAAGAGGACCTCTGCACAGCTGTGATTAGTTTCTTTCAATCTGGGAGGCTGCTGAGGTACTGGAATCATACTCTGGTGACCTTAATTCCTAAATGTACTCACCCTAACTCTATATCTCAATTTAGACCCATAAGTTTGTGTGGGGTGGTGTACAAAGTTATTACCAAAATCCTTGCAGATAGAATGAGGAAATGTTTGGATGTTTGCATTAGTCCTTCTCAGGCTGCTTTTATTCCAGGCAGACAGCTAGTGGACAATGTGATTATTGCTCAAGAATGCTTCCATTATCTTAATAGACACAGGTCTAGGGGTAATTGCTTTATGGCATTAAAGCTGGATATGCTCAAAGCCTATGATAGAGTGGAGTGGGGGTGCATTGACAGAACTATGAGGAAGATGGGTTTTGATAAACAGTTTGTGCAATGGGTGATGATGTGTGTTTCTTCCCCTTCCTTCTCCTTCCTAGTGAATGGCAAAGCAGCAGGTTATGTCCAGCCATCGAGGGGAATTAGACAAGGAGACCCCATTTCTCCTTTTCTGTTCCTTATAGTATCTGAGGTTTTTTCTTCTCTGATTGAAGGGGCAGGGTTTAATGGCAGGTTCAAAGGGTTAAGAATTGCTAGAAAAGGGCCAACTCTGACTCATTTGCTTTTTGCAGATGATTCAATTGTATTCTGCAAAGCTGATACTGCTCAAGTGAGGATTTTATTGGAGTTGTTGGGGACCTATCAGAGTTTCTCGGGGCAGAAGGTGAACCTAACTAAATCTTCGGTTTTCTTTAGTAGAAATACTCATGTCCAAACCAGAGATAGAATCTGTGCATTGTTGACTGGAATTCAAGCTCACAATTCCACTAGATACTTAGGACTTCCCCTGGGCATAGGGAAGTCTAAGAAGGAGACTTTTGATTATGTAGTTCAAGCAGTAAAAAATAGGCTTACAAGTTGGAAGAGCAGATACCTTTCTACAGCAGGCAAGGAAGTGCTTATAAAAGCAGTTATCAATGCACTATCTGTGTTCTCAATGGCTTGCTTTAAACTCCCTGTTGGTATCTGTGATGAACTTAGTAAACTTACTGCTTGTTTCTGGT